TCCGATTCCTGGTGCGCAAGGTCACCTCTCTAGCACCACTTGGCCTCTGCAGTCACCCCAACCCATGGGCAAGCAGGCATCTCTGAATGCTGTCCCCTTGGAGCAGGGAAGACAAGGACAATCATCCCTCAGAGGCTCCTACCACTCTATCTCCGTGAGGTGCGAGGATGGTTTTTTCTGTGTCCCCAGCACCCTGGACCAAAACGTAAGGGCCAAAGAAGCCCCCAGCGTCTGGCATCCCCCTCCCCAATCCTCCTAGCAGGGAAGGCTGCTCCTGCCCCGATACCCAGAGCACTGCACGGGAGACATGCTATGATGGAGCCCAGCACCCTTCACAGTCCACATGGTGTGGAACCTGCGGGCCACAGGTGAGACCAGGCTCCTAGGACAGTGTTTTTTTCCTGGTGAAGTGAAGCCAGTGCAGCAAAATGAGGACAGAAACTCTGGCTTGGATGATAGGAGCTCCGGTTGCTCTTTACACTTCCCTGAAGCTGCAGCACTTATCAAAACAACTGACCTTTAAAAATATGACCCAGCTGGACTGAGGGGCTGGGTGCAGGGCAGGAGAGGCATGGCTGGGTCCCTGGCCAGGTGCAGCAAAGCCAGAGGACTCAAGGAAGGGCAGGGAGACCATAGCAGAGTTTAGCAGGGACTACCTTCCTTGCCACCTGGGTGCCCACAGCCCTGCCACTGGCTAGATTGCTTTCTACTGGAAGGCCATGGGCTGCCCTGTGCCCTGTCCACTTCTTCCCATGCCCTCTTCCTTAGCCTGTCTTCAGGCATCCAGTCACCCTCCAGTCCTAGAACCTGGCTCCACTCTTGGGGGAGGGGGATGTGGGAAGCGCTGCTGCCCCACCTGGGCCTCCATGGGACCTCCTTCCCTTACTTCTTTACACCCTTAGTGCAAGGGCCTGGGGAGAGCAGTCTTCGCTAACTGTTGGGGAGTGAACGAAGCCTCTATACTCCAGGCTGAGGGGCCAGTGAAAGAGTGGGGCTCCGACATGACATACCTTCCCAACTAGGGAGGTGAGGGGTCATGCTCCCTGCAGCTTCTCCTACCCCTCCCTTGCCCCAGGCCCCAATGTCCCAGGACTCCCCTCCTTATCCCCTAGGCCTCTGCAAACCCTATGAAGCTAGCTGCTTTGGCACAGGTTGGCTTATTCAACAGCTTTTTATCCATTTCCAGTTCCCAAAGAACAAGAGGCCCCTGCATCCAGCCCCATCCCCCAGGCCACCCCAACCTCCAGCGGGGCTGGGCTCCCCATCCCAAACTGGGATCCTCACACCACCCTTAGTCCTTTGTCGCCTGCCTGGAGGGATCTACCAGGAGAGGGCGCTGGAGAAAGGGGCACCCTGCCCTCAGCTGCCTTCAACAATCTCAGAACAGCCTGAGGGCCTCCACTGAGGTCCCTTCCCACAAGAAGGCATGGCACCCCACGGGCTCCGGGCTCCAGCTAAGAGGGACCCACCAGCTCAAGGCCCAGGTACCCACGACTTTCCCTCTGTCCAGAGCCAGTTGGGTGCAGCAGCAAAGATGACGGCCGGGTTGACGCCTTTTGGCCCATTGGTCTAGGGAACACCCCTAGACTGGAACTCTGATTGCTATGTTACACATGGACGAGTTGGGAAGTGCTGTCACCTGCAAAGACAAAGCCAGGGCCCTTTGCTGAGGGCTGCCGGAGACTTCAGCGCAGAGTGGGAGAGGCCAGGGCAGGGGCAGCCCCTCAGACGCTGGCGCTACACCAGCCAGCCGCTTCGCGAACGCAGTCCCTGAGGACATCTCTGGCTCCCTGCGCGGCAGGAGAAGCGTTAAAGCTCCTGTCGTGCGTGCAAATCTCTGTGAACACCTGCTTCTCCTTGTCAACCCCTGAACCAGGACCTTTCCCTGGACACCCTGCCCCCCGCCGTGACCCATCCGTCACCCATCCGTCACCCGTCCGTCCTTTCCGCTGGCACGAAGTTCTATTCGCTTACTGTGTGTTCTCCTCCCACCCTGCAGGAGGAGCGGACACGGACGCTGGGGTTCGCTGCGTTCGCGTTGCTCACCCAGGGCAGGGTGACCAGGCGCGTAGCAGGTGCCCAATAAATACTCCTTGAACGAGTGAAGTGTTGGATAGGCTCTGCCAAATGGCGCGCGCTCCATCTTCCAAGCCCGGGTTAAGTTTGCACCGAAAAGTGCCCTCAGCCTTCCTCGCAGGACATTTTCTTCAAGACCAGGAGGTGGCATTGGAGAATTTTCCACGGCGGCTCGGAGGGATCCCCGAGGCGATCGCGTCCCCGCAGGTGGGCGGCTCGCTCGTCCCTTTTGAAGGCGGGGCGCTTCCTTTGGCCCGAGTTGGCGCCCCGGAAGGAGGAAGTTTAGCCCATCGGGCCGCCGCGCTGGAGGGCGAAGTCTCTGCGCGGAGGCTTCCCGGAGTGGGAGGCGTCCCGGGGGCACAAAGCAGAACGGGGCACCTGCAGAGCACGTGCGACAACTTATCTAGCCCTTACCCCGCATGCCGACCTTCCCGCACCCCTGGCCCTGAACTCGGCGAGCCGCGCCCTCTGCACCCAGCGAGACTTACGGTCCCGCTCTCTACCCAGCGCCTGGCGGCGTACACAGACTTAGGGTCACCGGGGCCAAGTGGCGACTGGACCTCAGTCTTAATGAGACCCACGGCGGGCGGCCTGTGAAAACAGCCAAAGCACAGAGCCGGGAACTGCGGCACTCTTCCTGCCTCCGAGCCCGGGTCGCGATGACCCTACAGAAGGACAGAGCGCACCTGCTGTCTCGCTCAGGTTCGCATGTTCGAACTCCTATTCGGGCGACCCGCGCTCCTAGTAGCCAGGGGGTCCGCCACTGCCCAAGGCTGAGCAGTGGGTCTGGGTGAGGGGCTGGCCCCTCCCACTCGGCCCCGCCCCGCACTCTCCGGCCCCGCCCCGCAGCTCACAGCTCGGGCCTCCCGCCGCCCTAGAGCCCGAGCGTGGGCCTCTCGAGTCCTCGCTTCCCGCGAGCCTGGGAGGACCCAAATCCTACCAGGAAAGATCGTCCCTGTGGCCAGACCCTCGAAGCTCACACAATACGTGTTTCCGCCGAGGAAGCAGGGCGCGAGCGAGGGCGAGTCCCGGTACAGAGGGACCCGGTGCCATCGGCAACGAGGAGATCCCGAGGGCCTTGCGCTCGGTGCCCTGAGCCTGGCTCTCCTTGGTCCGATTGCCGCCGTGCCCAGTCCAGTCCTGCCAAGTGCGAATCTGCCCCAAGAAGCCAATAGAGCGGAAACCCCCACGCGCAGGGGGCCGCACTTGAGCTGGGGGCCCCACATGCCAGGTCGCGCTGGCGGGACGACATACACGAGTCAGGGGCGTCCACAGAACTCCAGTCCAGCTCGGGGCCACAGTTGGCTTTCCAAGCCTCGACCTGATGGAGGGATCCGTGGCGCCAAGTCCCTGCTGCTAAATGCACAAAACGAAAACGGACCCCAGAGGGAAGCGGCGCAAGCGGACTCTAGGTCTCTACACAGAGCCGCCAGGGTTACCTTCTTTCGTGACACCAAAACCCGGGAGGCCAAGGGCACAATGGGAAAGTCGTTACTGACAAACTGCTCCGGACCCCAGAGAAGCCGACCGTGAGCACTCAACCTTCACCCGGATTCCCAGGTCACAAAAAACAGCTGTTCGTTTGCACTCGTTTGGATCATGGCTCCTAACGGGCAGCGGTAACAGTAACAGCCACGGCGTATTGCTAAGTGATGCCAACACCCAAGAGGACCGAAAGCGACAGCGCGCAGCTACTGCTCAGAGCCTGCTCTACATGGCGCTGGGGGCTAACTGCGATCTCATTTAATCCCCAAGACATTCTATGGGGGCGTGGGGTTCTCTATCCAGAGGACATTAGGGTCACGTGGGCCCCAGTGTAAAGGTCACGGTTCTGCCGCTGGGTTTCAAGTGCACACCCATGTTAAGGTTCTGGATGTAGAGTCCAATGCGTCCTGGGCTTCGGAACTCGAAGACTGCTGGGATTCTGTCCTCCTGGACGGGGCTGTGATTCTAGAGAGAACAGATGTGGTTCTGATGAGTGGTCTCAGACCCAGGGTCGGTTGCCTCCACAAACAGGAGACCACCGACACCCCCCACCCCCAACCAGATGGCCCTGGCCATCGCTGCGTCCGGAAGAGGCGGCAGGAAACCCGGAACGCCCGGCAGCGCAGCGTGCGCTAATAGGGGGCCGCGCACGTGGCCCCTGTCGTGTTGGCCTTGCCCCTCCGCCTCCGCCACGGTAGCTGTTTGCTGGCGGGACTGGGCCGATTTCCGCGGGCCAAACCTGGCCATTCGGTCCCGGACTCAGGCTTCCTCCGCTCTTCTGCTGACCTGGGCCCACCAGGAGAGTGTTCCCCTTAGGCGTTCGTGCCTCCTGCACCAACCCAAGCCGGGGAGGCCGAGGAGCCGCGGGACGGGGCGCGGACTATAGAGCCTGATGGGCTCGCTGACCCCCGGAGTCCAGCCACTCTGGGCTGTTCCCTAAGCGGGGCGCACTGAGTGTGCCCAGTGGATCTTCAAATCTACATTCTTTCGGGCTAAAATATGTTCTCGTATTTTTTCCTGATTTCCCCATTAAAACCTTTGCCTAACTAAACTCTCATCCAACGGAATTTATTTCGTCCCTGGGGAGATAAATCAAGGGGCAAATTTACAGCCAGGGAGGCACCTGCCGCGCTAATGGGCCCTTCATGGAGTGCACGGCCCGCAGGGGCGCGCGCAGACGGGCGGGGCGCTGGCCAATGGCCGGGCCTCCAGGGCCCTCAGCCAATCAGTGCGCGCGCCGCGCCCAGGCCCCACGGTTATCAGCGCGCCCGTCCCGCGCGGCGCCGCTCCGTCCGGTCCCGGAGCAGCCGCCGCCGCCGCTGCCGCCCGTACCCCTGCCGTCTCTCCAGCCGCCTCCCAGCCCGCACCGGAGCCGTCCGCCCGCTCGCCCGCCCGCCGGGGCCGTCGGCGCCCGCGCCCTGCTGCAGCCGGCGGCCGCCCGCAAACTTCCCGGACCGGCGCGGGCGCGGCGGCGGCGGCGGCGGCGGCGGCGGCAGCGGGGCCCGAATGGGCGCCCGAGCCGGCGGCGGCGGCGCCCATGGACGCTAACCGCCCGGGAGCGTTTGTGCTGAGCAGCGCGCCGCTGGCTGCGCTGCACAACATGGCCGAGATGAAGACGTCGCTGTTCCCGTACGCGCTGCAGGGCCCTGCTGGCTTCAAGGCGCCCGCGCTGGGCGGCCTGGGCGCGCAGTTACCGCTTGGTACTCCGCATGGCATCAGCGACATCCTGGGGCGGCCGGTGGGCGCAGCGGGCGGCGGCCTCTTGGGCGGCCTGCCCCGCCTCAACGGGCTCGCCTCGTCGGCCGGCGTCTACTTCGGGCCCGCGGCCGCCGTGGCGCGCGGCTACCCCAAGCCACTGGCCGAGCTGCCTGGGCGTCCGCCCATCTTCTGGCCCGGCGTGGTTCAGGGCTCGCCCTGGAGGGACCCGCGCCTGTCTGGCTCGGGTAAGTGGCCCTTGCGGGGTTCGGCGTGGGGCGGGCGGGGCGCGGGCCGCGCTCACTCGCCTTCCTTCGCAGCCCAGACCGGCGGGGTCCTGGACAAGGACGGCAAGAAGAAGCACTCGCGGCCGACCTTCTCGGGCCAGCAGATCTTCGCGCTGGAGAAGACCTTCGAGCAGACCAAGTACCTGGCGGGCCCCGAGCGCGCGCGGCTCGCCTACTCTCTGGGCATGACCGAGAGCCAGGTGAAGGTGAGCGCGGCGGGGCCGGGCCCGGTCGGCTTCTCGGGGTCGCGCTGCGCCGAGCCAGGCCCTGGCGCCCGCGTCCTACGAAGGGCCGGCGAGCGGCCGACCGACCGACCTCGGCCCGGAGGCGGGTCGGGGCCACTGCGATGGTCGCGGGTGGAGGAGTCCAGTCCAGCGAGTTTCGGGGCCCGCCTGACGGTCCCTCTCCACCCCTAGGTGTGGTTCCAGAACCGCCGGACCAAGTGGCGCAAGCGGCACGCGGCGGAGATGGCCTCGGCCAAGAAGAAGCAGGACTCGGACGCTGAGAAGCTGAAGGTGGGCGGCTCGGACGCGGAGGACGACGACGAGTACAACCGGCCCTTGGACCCCAACTCGGATGACGAGAAGATTACGCGGCTGCTCAAAAAGCACAAACCCTCGAACTTGGCGCTGGTCAGCCCGTGCGGCGGCGGCGCGGGGGACGCCTTGTGAGGACGCGGCCCGGCCAGAGAACCAGGGTATGGGGCGCGGCCGGCGCCCCGACGCCGCCGCCCGGCGCAGTGTGTATATATATTTTTACAGAATAAGTTATATGGCGGGCCCGGGCTCGGCGTGGACGCGGGACGCGGGCAGATCACTTTGTATAATCAATAAATTATTTAACACGTCCGCGTCGGAGCCGCGGCTCCCGAGGTTGCACCGCGTGTTTCTTCCATATGGAGCCGGGGCGCCTGCGGGCGGGCGGGCCACAGGGCCCTCCAGCCCCGATCCCATTGAGCAGGTTCTTCCCGTGGGGCGCATGGGGCTGGCGCGGCGACGGCGGGGGCGCGCGATGGTGCCCGGGACCCCCATGTGCGCGCCTGGGGTGGAGACTGTGACCGACAGCAAGGCCGCCGAGCGAGCGAGCGAAAGAGTCTCGAGGCCGGGGGCGGGGAAGGTGGTGGGACCGCGAGCCCTCGGACCTCCCGCGGAACGCAAGGAGCCGCGCGCGCAGCTGAAGCGTGACCCCGCGGCAAGTGGGGCCCAGGGTCCTGCACCGCTGCAGGCAGGCGAGGCACCGTGCCAGGCGTCTTTGGTGGCGTTGATGCAAATGGATGAAGTTGGGGGTCTTCTTCAACACAGCTGGGGGCTCCTGAAAGGCGGGTAAGCCATGTGCCCACCTCTGCTTGGTCCTTTTCTCTTTTGCAGCCCCGGAAAGTGAGCCTGCCCCTGCTTCAGACCAAGCCTGCGCTGCCTGGGGCAGTTATTTTGAACTGGTTATTTTAAAAAGTTGTTTAGCCAGGATACTAAATAATTCAAACACGTCTATTAAACTCAGTTCGGGTGAAGTCAGGCTTGAAATTCTGCAAGGTGGCCCTTCGGCTATCATCTTAATATTTCCATTGGCAAAAAGTACTATTTCATTCAAGCTAACATTGTAAAGAAACTTGAGAGAATTCTGCCTACTGAGGAGCAAGCACACACAAACCACACACAGCCACTCTGCAATGCCCCCCCCCCCAGGCTGGCTCCTCAGAGGGACAGACCTTCTGTCAGGCCCTTTCATGGGTCACTGTTGAGGAAGTAACTTCTGACCCCAGCTGGGAATCATGGCAAGGCTGCATCCCAGTGGCTCCAGCCCAGGGCACAGAGCCCACCAGTGCCCACCCTCCCCTTGGCTACTTCCTTAGGAAGAAATACACCCATTGGCTCTAAAGAGCTGAATCCCCATGTCAAAAACCCATCAACTCTGTTCAGAGACTGTGACTTATGCCAGAGCTGCTTCTTAACAGACATAAGCGTTGAGTTTTAACTTCGGGTATTAAGTATAAATAATTTCATCGCCACGATTAAAAGATTTCTCTTGGAAGGTATGTTTGAAAATGTTTATGAGAAATGTAAAAGGCTTGAGTTTTGTTTTGTCATGTGACTGTACCACTAAGTTAAAGAAATGGATCTTTTGAGCCAGTGGCTGGTTTTCTTTAAAAAAGGCAGCAGTGTGTGTGCGCGCGCCCATAAACGTAATTTACAAATACATACATTTTAAAAGGGGGAGCAGTGCCTTTTCTGTGAGTGAACCATTGTCTCAGCTAGAGTTAAGAATGGAGCTCGTTTTGTTGAAAGGTTTTGTGGGAAGCAAAGCGCTTATGTAAGGCCATACAATATAATTAAAAGTGTCCAGGGACCAGTCTCTGACTACAGTGAAAAGTCCACAGGATGGTTTTTCTACTCCCCACTAAGGGCTTGGTGCCTGTAACAGTATGTGACACAGTGAAATTCCAGGATTCCCAGTGAGTTGAGCACAAACAAGAGGGCACAAAGGAGGCCAGAAGCTATGCTTAGCATTTCAAAGGAAAAGGGAGAGGGACGCAAGGAGACAAAAGCAGCAGGAACTGTTTTCACCAGGATCAATTTTATTGCTTAGGAACCGGGCAGTCCCTTCCAAAGCCTTCAGAGGAAGGACATACAGCTGAATCCCACAGACAATCATGCGTTGTGACCGCACAAGACACCCTGAGGAGCAGCGACCACAGTGTCAAGGACACAGGCCGGCCTGGGGACACCAGATCACTTGCAATGGTAGTGACTTCTGTGGAAACCAACATGAACTCATGCTTTGGCCCAGTCCAGGAGCTGTAGTGTTCAGAAGTAAATCAATAAACGCACGCTGTGTTTTGTCAACAGGCTCTGCAGTTGCCGTCCTCAGCACTTGGTGCTCGTGCAGGGAGCAGAGTATAGACATGGGCTGCACGCAGGGCTGGCAGACAGCCGTGCCCTCCTCTTCCACGTTTACATACAGCCCATGCTAGAAGCAACCTGTGGGAAGCAGACGAGGCTATTTCTAATTCTCCCACGAGATTATGGTTTTAATGTACGATACTTGGCACCATAAAACGGTAACAAAAGACAGACAAAACGGTTTACAAAATTCTTAAAAGGTACACCCAGTCTAGCTATAAACTTCACATTCAGTTCTTAATATTACACAGAAAAAGGCAGAGGAGTGACAAGCTGCTAGTGCAGATGTGCCACAGGGCCATTCCTGCCAGCACGCTAGGTCCTGTGTCTTGGGAACTCGTTTCCACAGACACATCACTCCACTCCTAGCCTGCGCTTCTACCTGCCGATAGGACACTCGTGCACGCATACTGGAAAGTATACTCAGCATAAGTTTTGGTAAGATTTATAAATTATTTTTAAAAAGTATATATTTATATGTATTTATATATATAAAAATGGGAAGCAGCTGCAGCGTGATTTGGGCGCCATGTAACCTGGCAGTAGAGTCAGACCACACAGGTCAGGCGACCTGACCTTGCTGCCTGGGTGGTGCTGGCTCCCTCCTGGCAGAAAGGACGCTGGACACCTGGGGTTGTGTACTGGAGAAGCTCCTCCACTGACATGGAAATGGAAAACTGTGAAGTCTAAAATACGGAATCTTTTTGCTGTCTATTAGAGTTTTGGCAACAGAACTGTGACTTATTTCGAAACCCAATATATCTACTGAATGTCACATGAACAGACAGAGTGAGGTATGTGAGGCTGTCCGGAGGGTCCGGAGGCTGAAGCGAAGTGTGGGGCCGGCCATCTAGCAGGTGATGCTGGGGCGGGTTCCGACACAGCTGCTGGGAGTATGTTTCATACACTGCTACAGGGAGGTCTCTCGAGGACCCTTTCGTTGCGTTGGCACCTCTTTCCTGCAGTGGAATTAGTCATTTGTTAAAGGAACAAACACACCAGGAAAAGCTGCAGAAAGGAGAGCTAAGGGAAGGAGTCATATTTACCACCACGTCACTGCACGACACAACACTTGTGCACATGTGCGTGAGGTTTACCTGCCCCGGGCGCGATGCGGAAGGCCAGGAACACGGGCTGCAGCAGGGAGAAGAGAGGGGTGTCAGCGTGTGCACCACCGCCTCCCGCCAGACCCCCCCCAACCCGGAGGCTGGAACTGCATCCACAGGAAGTAATGCTCAGTCAAGAGCCAGTTAGCCTGGCTGGGCTGGAGAGGCTCCAGACAGCCCCTTCATGTTTGTAAGCAAGGTGTTATACCAGACAAAAATTAGTGTAAATGCTGAGTTCAGGAACTGCTGAAGAAGTCCCAGACAGTGGGGAAGGGAAGCACACCCAGCCTTGGTGGTGTGCTTAGAGGCCTGGAGTGCAGGGAGTGGGTTTGTCTGAATTGGCTGAAGATGGAAGCACACTTGTGACTTGGCCTGAGGGTCAGTGGTCCAGGGCAGTCACACGTGCAGATAACCTGTATAGATGCTCAGTGCCTGTCCTGAGCTCACCAGGCCTGTACGACACCTATGTACCACTACTCTGGCCTGGAAGATGTGAGCTGAGCATAAGAAGTCCACGAGAATAGTCCAAATGCATGCTCAAGAAGCAGCTTTCAAAAATAACCAGCTAAGAGAAAAAGTTTTACAAATAGTGAAATTATGTATTTTCAGTTATGGTTAGTCATTTTTGTCTGCCTTCTCCCTACCCATATTATCTATCTTTTGATATTTTATTAAATAATTCTGTACAGACAAACTGAAAAGGTGGGAGCTGCCCCCCCCCCCATCCTGTTCTGGACCTCACCTTGTGGTCTCCCATGCAGACATTGGGTCCAATGTGACCATAGGTGGCGACCTTCTCCTCACTCTCTGACTGGAAGCAAACAGAAAGAGGATGGTGTGGGGAGGCTGAGGCACCCCAAGGTCCCGCCAGGAGGTGACAAGCAGGGGCTTAGCAGTGTCCTAGGATGTGGAGGTGGGTGGGGACAGTCACCTCTGCTGGCCCTTTCCTCACAGGGCCCTGGTGGTGGGAGTGGCCCTGAGGAGGATAGGCCAGCTTTGGAGGAAGGCACTTATGGTTGTGGCCAGTTCTGCTGAGAAGGGTCCTGCTTCTAGAAGGATGGAAGTCACATGGGAGCTGGGCAAGGGGGCCCCAGGTTTCCTCTGCCAGGCTCTTGCATGCTTATAGGTACTGGGAGGCTCTGCAGTTGGTGCCACTCTGAACCTTGTTTTCAGGGTGCATCCCTAACTGCAGTGGCCCCTCCATCCCCAGTTTCCCTTCTTACATTTGTTTTTGACAGCCTGCTCTGTTAACTCAGAACTCTGCTGCACAAAGCAATGTACACATATTAATTAAGTGCACACTTCCTTCACTGAGGCTGGCAGACTCCTGTACTCTGGTCAAGAAGGCAGAGGTTTGTTGCTGGTAATCAGTCAGCTCCGACTGGGCTGGAGTTTTATATCCGTAGCTGAAGCATCCGAGACGATAAAGTAAAAACTGAATTATCTTTAATGCAGTAGGAAGCTTAAGGTCAGATTTACTTTCCAGCATGGTTGCCTGCCAGAAAGCATAAAAACATAACCTTCGGTGCCGCGTGCATGAACACTTTCCAATCCCTCAGGAGCGCGGTCCGCCTTTGCGGAAGTGTAGAGACATTCATCAAAGGTGGTGTGGTAATTTACAAAGGCAGCATAAAATTGTGGATTTTCAACTGCACAGTCTTTGGACAGTAAACAAATTACAGCAGGCGTGGGCTCGATGCAGGCACGCCTCACTGAGCATTCGTCGCCGAGGATCCCGGACGGCACACTGGCTTTGGCGTTTTGGGGCTCAGGAAGCAGAAAGGAACATGATGGGGGCACCTGAGCATAGCATGATGGATGGCACTGCGGAGGCTGCCTGCACACCGTCTGCTGGTCCTGTAACTCCAGCTGCACCCTGGGCTGCCCGAGGGAGGGCCTGTGGGGCTCCAACCCTGGAGGCAGGCCCCCTCCAGGGCCAAGTGTACGTGGTCCTCAGCGTGGGTGCACAGCAGAACTGGCTGGGTCTCTCACTGTGGCTTTGAAGTGTGGAAACGTGGGTCTGGAGGCCCAGAGGAAGTAAGGCAGGCACACACTGGAGCTGCACACAGCCACTGCATGGTCACAAGGGCCCCCAGCCTTCTGCCTCCAGTCCACGGACGCACTCTCTTAGGGTCCTCACCACAACATGCAGTTTTCTGACCCTAGACATTTTCCTGGTGGATTACAGCCATCTCTCCCCTGGTGGGGGCAAGGTTACCACTGAATGTGTGATACTGCTGTCCACCTAATTCTCACACTGTCACCTCCACAGAGCCCATGAGCAAGCTCAGACTGGACAGCAAGGTTATGTCCATAACCAGACTCCCCCCTAGGTTGCCTGGGGTCTGTGGCTTCCTGGTCAGCAGCAAGCACAGCTTCAGGCTTGAGTGGCATTTCCTCAGTGATGGCCCTGGGTGAGCAGGCATCACAGTGGGCCATGGGCCCTGTGCGCCAGACCAGCCCTCACCACACCCCAGCTCCCCAACAGACCCAAGAGGCTTTGGTGATACCATTGCCTCCTTCCCTGGCTGCCCCAAAGATCTACACCACTGCCAGGGCCTGAGGCCCTCTGTACAAAGGGCCAGGGCATGAGAGAATCTGCGAGGAGCCTGGATGGGGAGAGTGACACATACTCGAGGCCAGAAAGGCTAAGCAGGCATTGCTGCCCGCAAGTCAGGGAGGTTGCCTTGGGAGTGATGTTATGTATGTGCGGCACTGTTTGGCACAGGAACTGACGGGGGCACCTCAGGGTGACTAGAGCCCAAGCTAGCTGAGAGTGGGGGTCTCCTAGCTCCCTGGGCCCGGGAAGTGGGGACAGAGATGCCACATACAGAATCCCAGCCCACTATGGTGCCAGTGTCTTCTGCCCAGGCCAGGGTCAGACCCCAGCTTTGCTGAGCACCAGACAGCTGCCCAAATGGACCATTTGTTTTCACCCATAGGCTGACACAGCTGACTCAGAGGCCCATTCCTCTGATGACACCCCATTTACGCTAAAATTGGGAACAGAAAGACATTGAAACCATCTGACAAGCTCCCGATGCCAGGTGCACTGTGTGGCCTCCTGAGAATGTCACCACTCATCTGTAACTTACCTGACCCAGATGAGAACCTGGCTTTGACTACGTTTTTGCCACACTTCACAGACACAATCAAAAGATTTTCAGCCCACCACTTGATGACCACTTCTAATTCAGGAATCAGTGGCCCCAACGAGGGCCTGAGCACTAGCCAGGAGGTAACTGAGCCCTTCCATTCAGCTCACCTCAGGATGAGGTTGGGGCCCACCCTAGAGTGTCCCTTAGGTAGGCAGCTTGGCCACCAAACCCTGAGATCCAACCCTGCCTGCCATCCTGGCTGCGGCAGGGTCTTGGCTTCCACCTACTTTGAGTACCAGCTCCTTGGCAGACGGGGACATGAGGATGCGGTCGCACCATGCGGGGCACCGGGTGTTCATGTACTGCTGGCCCTGACGGGAGTCCTCGCTGTACGGGTAGCTGTGGAGACACGGAGTCACAGCATTAACAGCATGCTGGCTTCAGCCAACCCTGTGGTCCAAAGGAAAAGTTGTGCTATCCAGGGAAAAAATGCACACACACAAGCTTCTGGAATAGAAGTTTCCCAACTTAAAGTCTTCACATCAAACTTGCCTCTCCCTGTGTGCATCTAGACGGCTCAGGTCAACTCAACCATACACACATCTTTCCTCCACCTGCTCCACTTGTCGGCCTCGGTTCCTGTTGGACAGCCCAGGTGTTCAGGCCATGACCCTGAGCACCACTACAGGGAGGCCTGCTGTCTGTGCCTCAGATACCTGCCACCTGCCCCAGCATTGCTTGTCCTGGCCCCCCCACTGGCCTTGCTGTGCCTCCATGTGCAGCTGGCTCCCTCATTCATACACATGATCAGACTCCAGGAGGCTGTCTGCCTCTACCTGTGTTTGGGGTGAGTGCCACAGCCCTAGCTCCAGGTGCAGTGCCATCTAAGTGGGCCCACCCTGAGAAAACAAACCCACCCGGCCTTGACTGGACTGCCCTGTAGTAATTAATCCCACTGAGAATGGCTAGCATGGGCGGGGGAGGGAGGAGGGTGGGGGAGGGAGGAGAACACTTCTATGAGTTCAGCTGCCCCAGGTGTGGTACGTCCACAGGCTCCTATAGCCTTCAGCAGACCCTCGAGGTCATCCTTGCAAAAGTCTGATGTGCGTCCTCAGGTTAATTCCAAATGTCAGATACTGGGTGTTGAGATGGTGTCTTATGCTCAAACGTTCCTGTTGACTTCAGCTGAGAGAACAGGACCGATTTTCCAGCCTGATGCTGTCGGGGCACCTGTTGATTTTGTGGCCTTCAGAAGAGGCCCATGCTGCCTGTAGGCCTGGCCCTACTTCCACTGTCCTTGGGGGGCTTGAGGTCTAAGATCATCCCTGGGCCTCAACCATCTAAGTGGTTTTCTGCTCCCAAGGGGAGCAGAAAAACAGTCACAAAAACTGGGGCTTATGACCCTAGCTTCCTGCAGGGAACCATAATTTTACCTCATTAGTGCCTCAAATTTGACCAAAAACAAAATCTGTGCAGTTTTTACTCATAATAACATAATATTTTTAAAGGACACTAAAATGAGCTGGAAGTATGGCTCAAGCAGTAGAGTGCTTGCCTTGGTAGTGAGAAGCCATGAGTTTACACCCCAGTACTGCCAAAAAAATAAAAGATTAAAAAAAACAAGAACACTTGTTCAAGTGTTTCTCAGTTTACCCCAACTGTGGATCATGAAGAAATGAAGCTCAACCCCTGGTAGGCGCTGCCTAGCTGTGAAGTGGGGGGTGCAGCAGGAAGGGCTGCAAGGCTGTGAAAGCAGCAGGATGGGGCACGAGGTCTGCCCAGCTTCCAAATGATGGATGAGACAGAACTGCAATGCCTTCCCCCATGTGGGTTGGGCAGCTCACACGGCTGGGCATTGTTTTCCTCTAGCACTGTGCTGTGTTGGAGTAGGGCATTCTTCACTGTGACCAGGCACAGGGCACCTTTACTGACAACCTCTCCCCAGCTTGCTCATGTCTCCTTGGAAACGGCATCCTCAGTTGTCCAGCAGAGCGCTGTCTCCGGCTTTCCTGCATGGGGTGTACAAGTCAGGATCTTCTCGCTGATTCAGGGGTGAGGTCTTGGCAGACTCTATGACTCTGCTTGTCCCCACTGCCATCCCTTGGCCCTGGCATTGTCTTCAGATGAGTGTCTGGTGTGCAGCTTACATACAGCCAACAGTGACCAGATGAGCCCAAACCTAAGAAGCGTTACTGGAAGGTGCCACCTTAGGTCAGAGGATCGAACGGGCATGCTCTGAGACACTGACTCATGTCCAACAATAGCTCCAACATTGTCACTGCTTCAGGAAACACCCTTGTGAGCCACTTGTCAGGGGTGGCAGGGGGCTCACCTGGCGCTGACCACCACACGCCCCAGAGACAGAGTCCAGTGTAATTACTGAACTCTGGGTCTCTCCTTTGCTGTGATGACGGTCTTGAATTTTCTGCAGTACTGAGGACTGAACCTGGGGCTCATGCATGCTCAGCAAGCACTCTACCACTTGAAGCATCCCCAACCCTTTTGCTTATATGATGTTGTTGTTTTGATTTTACATAGGGTCTTGTTAACTTTGCCCAGGCTGGCCACAAACTTGAGATCCTCCACTTCACATCCTGAGTAGCTGGGATTAGGTTTGAAGCACCGCTCCTGGCTTTACAGGTGACTTAAATGACTTTGCAGACAAGCCGGTTCCACTCCTCAAACACAAGACAGCATGTGCTAACTTGTGAAACTGGAGCTGGCAAGGGCCACCCCTGTCCACGGGGACAAGCCTGACGATGGTTACTGCTTGGACACGCTGTGTTCCAGGATAGGGCAGTCACAGCAGGGGGTCCAACTCCCTAACCCTTACCCAGAGGGCAGCTTGAGGCCTCATGTGCCCCTGACTCCTTTGGGGTTCAGAGCAATTCTGGCTGCCATGGGAGAGTTCCAGGGGCTGAGGGGACACCCTGGCTGGGGTTGACAGCAGAGCCTGGCTATTGGGGGCTCATCTCCATAGGCTGGGGGACTCCCTGTGGGGGACACCCTGACACCTGAAGAACAAATGCATTAGTCCTAGACAGGGTGTGGAGGCCAGTGTGGACCATGAGTCCCATTCCCTCCTCCATTCAGAGGCTACACAGCTGAGTGCAGGGGCCTGGCTGCAGTCTGTCCACTGATGATTAATGCAGGCAGCACTGTGACCCGGACTTATCTGGAAGCAGACCTGCTCCAGTGGGAGGCAGGACAAGCTGGCCCTATCTCGGCCCTGTACAGCTCCAGGAATAATCGCCATAATTAATTGCAGTGGTGATAAAATTAACAATCGCCCACCTGTGTTCCTTGGCCACACTGCCTCCCTTCCTCTTTGCCCCTCACACTGTGTCCCTCAGGATGTGGACAGCGGCACCTTTGCTGGCTGACTGTTTGCTCGTGGCCGGCCCCGCCCTGGTGACAAGCCTCAGCCCAAGACCTGGGTGGGCTGGACTCGGATAGTGTTGCCATGACCCCGCAGCTACCACAAGCAGGAAGCACAGAGCTGCCTGTGTTTGTGAGTCCTGCAGAACAGGACAGGAGGAGGCCTGGAAGAGGGAGCCGTGAAGTCCACCTCTCTGCTGTGATTCTCTGCTCTTCATGAACCACAGGTGGTGAAGTGAGGAAGAGCTAGCCAGTGTGTTTACAGTGGTTCTCAGGCTGTCCTCCAAAGAAGGGATGAAGGGAAGAGGAAGGGAAAAGGGCAGGGGCAGAGCCCACCCCCACTCCTGCAGGTGGTGTGAAGAAGACAGCCTCCCTCTGTTCCACTCTCCCTGCCCTGTGCTGCTCTTGTGACAGCCTAGTGTGTCACATTCGTGTACCACAATAAATGGGCAGCTAAGGGCACAGCCACATTTACAGGTGGCCCAGAGTCACAGTGAACAGACACTTGGTTTCAAAGACACCAGCTGCTACTGAAATACCCAAAAAAGAATAAAACCCCTAAAACCAAAGAAAAAAGAACTGAGCAGTAAGGACCGTGGCAAGACTGAAACTATGAAGCGGAAGAACTCGAGCCCAAGTGCTTTGTGAGAGCATCGTGGTGGCCGGGAGCAGCAGAGGCCCAGACCCTTCCCTGGCTCCCAGCACCCCAGGGGTGGCTGCTTCTGCTGGTGCTTGTTCTCACTCTTGAGTGACCAGGGCTGCAGGTTCAGCTTTCTGTTAATTAATCAGTTCACTAACTGTTCTCACCCTCAGCGCATGTCCAAAGTCACAGACCAGGCCTCAGTGACTAGGCAACGGATGGAAACCCTCGCTCCCTGCCTGAGTGCCTAGCCTTGCCCGGCTGGTATACATGTGATTACTATTACATCATGGACTCATATCTACAAACACCTCTCAAATTATGGCCCACAGAAAGTCTGAAGAGGCCTTCCTAGTCCTTAATTTTTAATAAATGTCCTAGTAAGGAGACACAACCTCTTCTGGCTGGACAAGTCTGGAGCAGACCATCCCTGTCTTTTTCAAAAGCTAAAACTTGGTCTGATTCTGCAATCTATTCAATAAGGGCACCTCTTTCCTAGTGTGTAGAGTTAATTTCTTCGGGAAGGGGCAATTCTTCCCATTCGGCTTTCTCTGGCAAGCTTTGATCGGCAGTTGGAGGACACTTAAATTTCTTCATACTGAAGTGTAACATGCACAGGTGAAGCACACACAGAATGGTGCTTGACGTGTCCACTCCGTGATGGGCCTCACTCTCACACACCACACTGACTTAGATTCATTCTTGGACTGGCAGCAGCATCCCTGCTTAGTCATGCTGTGTGCCATTCCATCTCAGTTCCAGGCATCCATCACAGCGTTTTGGTTGTTTCAGTTCGGGGCCAGTTTTTGGTGTATGGTGTGTGGGCCTCTGAGGGGGGCCTGGAACCCTTCCGGGGTCCAGAAGGTAAAACTATGCTCACAACAGCAATCCGATTAGCAGCTTCCACAGTGTTGATGCTGCACGATGGGTGAGGCCATGGTGGGAAGTATGGTGCCTGCACTGGAACCCAGCAGTACCCACTGTACAGATCAGGACATCCACCTCAGCACCAGTTCACAGTCAGGCAGAAGCAGGGTCAGTACAAGTGCTCTGACAAATCAGCACAAATGCTTACTTTGCAGCCCAGGCCTGGGAAATCTGGTTCCTAGGGTTCAATGGGATGAAATGTGAGCACCAGGGAGCATTCTGCCGGGCTAGGAGTGTGTGGCCCGTGTAGCACCACTTCTGCAGACAGCCTGATGGACAGTGCTGCCACTGGTGGCTGCAGGTGTCTCCTCAGGAAGGCACAAGCTGAGCCTGTGTCTCTGATGATGCAGCTGACAGTGTTTGCGCTGCTGGTCTTGGCATCACAGTTCTCAAGAAACCCCAGAATTTTGGAAAGAGCATTTGCCCATAAGCCTGGCATTACCCCATGAAGACTCATCTGCTGAAAACAGGGTCAAGACGAAGATGCTGTTGGCTCTGGGTGAGCTGCCAATACCCTGCAGCTGCTGCACTCCAAATCCAGGGCTCACTAAGGACAGACATGCTGCCACTATACCCTGTGTGAGGGCCAAAGACCTGTTCTGAGTGGAGAGCCAACAGTTCACAAAGGTTTCCAACTCCACACTACAGCAAGGTCTAGGAAAGTGCTGTTTCTCCAAGTTAGTAGAGAGGAGCAAGGAGAGAGGAGTGCTCACAGCCTAGGTGAGGGAAGAACACTATTTCCACATATCTGCCGCTCTCTCCACACTCTAGCTGACACCAGTCCAGACAAACTTTAAACTTTTTTAAAAGGTGAAACATTGTTATTGTCATAATTTTTTGATTTGGAAAACAGTTATTTTTTCATTAGAATGTCGCTTATGTCAGCATGTAATGGGCTCAGTGTCTTACAGCCACTATCAGTAGATAGAACCCACAAAACAAGAGCTTCTTGGGGTCCTCCGTAATTTTAATGTAAGAGGTCCTAGGCCCAAATGGGCTGCAGTGGCTTCCAGGATGTGGTTCCAGGGCGCTGTGCAGTCCCAGCTATTTAGATGGTGGGACATGGCTTTGCTTTTTACTCAGTAGATTCAATCACTACACTGTATAGGACATCTACAAATACACTGATATTATTTAAAACGAGCACAGTGACAGACATCATCCATCCTCTCTAATGCATGAGTTCCCACAAAGAATCAGCCCCCACACAGAGCACACGTGACCTGGGAGGGTTGGTACTGGGGTGATACAAACTCAGGAAGCTGCCAGTGTCTATCGCTACAAAGTCAATGATGTGCTGGTAGGAAAGACGTCCCAGGCCCCTGCTGTTGGACCACGGAGACTGGACACGGTGAGGTGAGGATTTGCAGTGGTTGGCCTGGACAGTGTGGGTATCACACAGCTCAGTCACCCCCAGGTACTGAGGCTGCACAGTGAGCAGTGTGCCAGAGTCCTATGCTGCAAGGGCAGAGTGGGATGCAGTCTGAAAGGCACCATCTTCACGTCCCCATGGTCTTTGGGTTTAGTAAGAACCTTTAATGCTGTGGGGAAATACTACTCCTGCCACACTGGTGGGAAATGCAGCTGTACAACCACGTCTTTCTAATGTGACCTCTTCATTATAAAACTTTCAAATTAAACTAAAAATTAGAAATTCAGTTAGCTAGGATGCACAAAAAGAAGAGTCTTTTTTGTAATCTTGAGGTGCTATGAATCACCACCCGCGTAGCTGGGCTTTCCTGGGGAGTTACACCAAGTCTCGGCTTGCAGGTGGGAGTAGCAGGGGCCCCTGGGGCAGTCAAGGATCCCTTGGCCCTTCCCTGAGGGTCCTGGACACCTGGGGAGCTGGAGATAACAGTGTTAGAAGAGTTTATTCCCACTTTTGCTGACTTCAAACAGCCGATGCTGTGGTCCATCCCCAGGGACACTGGTCAGTGTCAGCCTCATGAGCCAGGTCACAATCATGTCCTCTTGCCAAGCAGGCACTTACAACCTTTCTACATTGTAAGCATGTGAAATACACATGACACTGAGGCCTTTACCCGGCCTGCATCCTGGAAGTTTCTTTGTGGTGGAGGTAGTAGCAGCCTGGACTTGTCCAGCCACTTGTCTGCTCTTGCTCTGCCTCCTGTCTGCCACCTGCAGCCAACACACTTGGAGTCGTCCCTAATGAAGGCATTAAAAATGCCTCATCTTTACTTGGAAGAGCGAGGGCTGAGGGCTCTGGGTGTCTGGATATGAGCACCTTTCCCAGTTGCCTCTGTGAGCACAGCCCTTGAGCTGAGTCATGGCTCCAGAAAGCACTTAGGTGAGCAAGAATAAACCATCCCAACACCCTAAGAGCAGCAGTGAGCTACCAGAGTGTGGCATAGAAAGGACAAGCTTTGCAGCCAGGAACTCTATCTATACCACTTGGCTGGGACAGAAACAGCTTGGAAAGTGGAAGCAAAATTGAAAATGGCTGAACGAAGCAGGGTCCAAGGGCCAGGGGGTAGGGCACTGTTCCAACAGGGCAGCACAGCCCATGTCCTTGAAATGCATGGAAGCTGCTGGCTCACAGCCATGTGGGCAGCCAGGTGCTCAGGAAACAGCCTTGCTCTGCATGGGGGCAGCCACGCCCTGGCTGGCCAGAGGCCCTATGCTGGCTCCTGGGCAGCACCTGTGAGTACAGAACTGAGGTCGGGGCTCTGCGATCTCAGGACCCACTTTCAAAAGTAACTAGTGTGAGACTTGTCATGTGCAGTGTCATCAGCACAGAAAGCAGCTCATAGGTACCATGGACTCACTCTACTCTCTGGGCATCTTGGTGCTGGGGAGGACATGTCTCTGGGACATTCCAGGGAAGCCACATGTCCAGAAGTCAGACCTCAGGACAAGAAGTGTATCCCTGAGGTCATCGGTGTGCTTCCTGAATTGACCCACAGTGTGTAGCCATTGTGTCACCATGACAATGCAGGCAGCACATAGGACAAGAAGGAGCTCCCAAAAAGCACAAAGTACCTCCATCCCCACTGCCTCCCAGAAAGGCTCCTCCCAGCTCACTTGAAAATGCCTTCCAGACACCATGGTGTGGTGCTTAGCCTCATGGAAGGGCTCAGGCAACTCTGGCCTCAGTCGTCTGCCCCAGGCCTGTCAGGATGTTACGAGGTGGGTCCCCTTTTCTTGCAAGCCCTGAGCAGGGGTTGCTGTCAGCTCCAGGCTGCCCTCACTTTGCAAGCCTGCCCTGCATGTGAGCCCCCTTCTGCACCTCTCTCTGTCGCTGGTCAGTTCTCTGCTTTGGATGTTCATTTTATTTGACTGCATCCGTTCAGATGACTCAAGAAGTCGCCCCTACTTTAAGTTCACTCATTGCCTCTGCAAAGTCCCTGTGGCAAGTCATGAAACAAATTCAGTTGTGGGATGAGAGTGTAGACATCTTTGGGAGTCACACTCCTAACCAACCACACTCTATCAGCACTTAATGGGGCAGATGCTGCATGAAGTTCACCCCAGGCAGCCTTGGGAACACACAGGTAGTGCTTGGTTTGTTCCTCTTGGTGCCAAAGCTTCCCTCTGAAGCCCGCTGCAGCCTTCCCCTCTGGTCTGGCAAAAATGTGTTCCAGTCAGATGGGCTGGAGTAGATGTGCTATGTTTGGTCCCAATGCTCAGTAAACCTGGCCAAAGCCACCTTCTTGGGAGGGATGTACTTCACATGCCAGGGGTCACCAAGCAGGCCCTTTCTGATGACCCACTTGCTCCACCCTCTAGAATATGTGACGTAGTGAGGTGGACTTGGTTGTATAAAAGCTGATGCCTGATCCTGCTGGTGTGCAAGGGCTCTCCCTTGGCCAACTGGGCACTGACTATAAGGCCCTTTGGGGTCCCAGCCTGGTCAGGTCCCACCCTGTATCTCCAGTGGCCAGGTGACTTCCAAGGTTGTAGTGGTGGGAAAGAACCCAGAGCCAGATGCCAACTCAGGCCCACAAGCCCTGAGGGTAGAGTCCATGGCCTGCTGTGGCCCCCAAACTCCTGGCTCCCAGCCAGCCCTGCTGAGCCAGGGGAAGACACCCTTGAGCTTCCATCCAGCATCCTGTGGTTCAGGACGTCAGGCAGCTATCCTGAGGAGAGGGAAGGTTGAAGCAAGTCCTGAGCATTTTAGATATAGGACGTATCAAGAAAGACATTCCATTGCTCATTTAATTGTGATCAGGAGACTCCCAGGAGTCACTGGGCTCAGAGCCAGGAGGCCACATGTGCTGGGCAGCAACCCTGAGGTGGCCTTCCTGAGCCCTGTAACTGTGGGCTGTATTGTAAAAGTGTCTGAGACCTCAGCCTGGCTACTGAATAGGCGAACCTGTGAAAGACACGAATTCAGCACTCCACTTTCCGTTAGTTCATCCTTCTTTCTTTGCACCATGGACCTCTGAGGCCCTGGCTAGGTCCATGCCAGGGAAAGACATGGATCCAGATATCCAGATGCCAGAGAGATGCACCCCACTAGTGCAAACTTAACACGACCTCTTGTGCATATTGGAAAAGACATTTAAAAAAATGGAAACAGAATTATTTACTACCCACAGCTAATTGCTTTCTTCAGGCCATAGAAAGGATGGAAAGAGATGCAACTCTCACACAATGCACACAGGTACACATACAGGTGCACACATGCACATGTACACAGGTAAACACAGGTGCACACATAGGCACACACACGAACTCTGGTACACACAGAGGTGCACAGATACACATACAGGTGCATATCGATATGCACAAAGAGACACAGATGCACACATGCATACATGTACATGGACACACAGGCAACCCAAGGAAGAAGGTGGGAAGGTTGTCAGCAGGTACAGTGCTCCTTACCTGGGAGGGAAAGAGATGTCCAGTTCATATAGTCTGTCTTTAAAGACAGATAACTCCTTGTCAAATTCTAAGAGCTGAGGAAAAGAAAAAGAAGAAAATCACATCATTTTGGTTTTCCTTGCTGGGGCACGGCAGTCTCTGTGCAGCAGGATGCTTGTTTCCAGAAACTGGTGGGGCTCAAACATTCAATGTGACATCTGCCCTACTCGGAGCCAAAAGCTGTCATCAGAAATATCTGGGAGTATACACCTCTCTAGCATCCAGCTGCCTCTGATGACTGCACTGTAACCTGCAGCACTCAGGCTATAGGCCCTGTACACACAAGACACACACAGGCACTCTGACAAGCATTCATCCTGACTGGGGCCCCAGCAGCCCTCTCAGGGTAGGACTTACTTTTTCAGAAGGGACCCAGCTTCCACTGTGCCCAGGGCCTAAAGTAACTCAGAGTGAGCAAGGTCAACTCTTTAACAGAACATAAAAAATGGGCCCAAAGGCCAGATGCAATGGCTTATGACTGTAATTCCAGCTACATAGGAGGCACAGGTAGGAGGATCATGGTCCAAGGCTGGCCCCAGGCAAAAAAGCATGAGACCTATCTGAAAAAATAGTTACAGAAAAAGGGGATGGGCATGTGGCTCAAGTATATAGTGCTTTTTAACAGGTGAGTTTAAATCCAATATCCCAAAAAAGAAAAAAATCCAATATCCCAAAAAAGAAAAAAAAAAAAAAAAGGAAAGAAAACTGGTCGTGAGTCTGTAGGCAGGCAACACAGTCCCTGGGGGAGGGAACAGGCCCCCACTGACACATCTCTGGATGGCCACCATGCACACCCTGGGGATGTGGTTCATTAAGCACATCCCACCCACACAGCTGTGTGAGGGCATGGCACTGCATCCAGTTCCCTAAAAACCACACTGTGTCCTCGCTCCTTCCTGCCACCTCATTCATCATTTCTGAGTGTGCAATTAGCAGCCTTGTGTACACAGTAATTACTTGTGTGACAGGCTGCTACCTGTCCACCTGCATGGGCCTCCCATCCATGCTCTGCTGGAGTTGTTTTCACCAGGCTGGACCTGCTTCTGACCACCAGCCACTGTGACCTGGGGCCAGATAAAGATTAGGACAGAGGAAACAACTGAAATCCCCACAAGAAGATTTCAGTCTCACTCCTCCAGAGTCACATTCTGTGGTGTCCTGAACATTCAGGAACTGAAGATGGAAGGCCTCCATCCCTGCCTGGTGCGGCTTACATACCAGGGCTGGGGGTCTGGACCTAGTGCGGTGCCCACCTCCTGATGGTGGGAACATTCACAGTGCACAGTGTTGCCACTGGCTGGGTGGAGGACAGCAGGTTCCCAAGGTGCATAGGTGAAGCAGTGACAGGCTCAGGATGGCAGGTTGTGTGCTGGGGGAGGCTGTTGGCTTCAGTCCGGTGCTAACGTGGTCTTGGCTACATGATCAACAAGAAGTAGGACAAACACACTTGCTCTGTAGCTGTCTGCCAGTGTGAGATCAGTAGCTAGCTTTCCCAGAAGGCCCAAGTGGGAGACTTGGGCACAATCAGAGTTAGACAGGACAGTGGCCAATGGATGCACAGGACCAAAATGCCATGGCAGTCCCCAAAGTTTGGTGACACGTCCAAGTTTCAGGAGACACAGGCAGAGCACTGGTCTCACCCTCCTAGAGTTGCTAAATCTTCTCTGTCCTCCTACATTTATGGTTTATTTAAAGAAGAAATACAATCTCAGAGATGCAATAAAGCCTCATGTGAGATGTCCTGACCTGGTGCCTGGGGCAACGGGATGGTTTACATCACCACTGCATAAGCACGAGTCCCTGCCTCATTCTGTGTGTTTTCACACTTCACACAAATGCCCCCTTGGCTTCATTCTGCCCTGGTGAGAGCAGTTGCCTGGCAGGTGAGACCAGATCTCTATGCAATAAAATTCCAGCAGCGCTCTGGAAGGAGGAATGGACTGCTTGCAGAACCGCAAGCTGGCTCTTGGATCAAATCATGGTTCCTTCTGACAGCTGTGATTATGGACATCAGCTGTCTGCTGTGCTCCTGCAGGTAACCTGGTAGCTGCCTCAGGCTGCTTGTAGGGTCTTCTCTTTATGTCTGATGCTCTGCTATTTCATTCCTCCTATTCAGAAGTCTGCTTCCTAGGCAGTAATGTTCCCTGCTATTTGGACAGCCATGTGACTCCCCTGTGTGAGGAACAGACCCCTGCTCACCTCCCATCTCTGCCAGTCACTTTCTGCCACACTAAGTTTCTGTGCTATCTGGGCCACTCCTCCATCCATCACCCAGTTCATAAAGCCTTTCTTCAGTTGTGCCTGCTCTGCCTGGAACTCATCCACTACTGTGAGTCAAAAGCTTTGTGATTTCTGGTTTGCTGGTTCCTTTTTCATGGTGGATACTAATGTTTCTGATTCTTTCATTTTGTCAATAATCTAAGAACTTATGTTTTATAAGACATATTATAAGATACAAGATTATTATATAATGGCTACCAGTTACTCAAGCACTGGACTCCTTCAGGCAGATTTCCAGACCCTACTGAAGGAGGAACCTCACCCCACCCCTGCCCCATGCCCTGTAGTTTGGGACTGTGAGCTTGTCTTCTCTGGTTCTCCACTTCTGGAAATTTCTAGTTGTGACGTGAATGTAGGCCTACACTTGAGAGACTGCAACCTCGTGACAGGAAACTACAGACAAGGAGTTCTCCACACGCCAACTTCAGAGTTACAAGGCATTGGAGCAGATGCTTGGTTCTCTTCCTCACTTTTCTTTACCCTTTGAAGGAAGCTCCCAGAACCTTATGGAGGCCTAACCTCCAAAGAAGGGTGCAGGCAGAAGCCCTGGTTCCAGAGACCGGATCAAAGCCTGATCTAGTGAGTCACTGCCAGCTACAGGCCAGACCCCCATTCTTTCCCAAGCTCCCTGCAAGGAGATGCTATGTGGAGGCTGTCCAGGAACAGCAGGGCTGGTCATACAGAAGGGAACAGCCAGTGGCCTTTTCCTCGAGCTGTTTGGAGGTGGCTATAGGAGAGAAAGGCCTGGGCCGCCCAAAGAAGCTGTGAGTTGGACATGTGCTGCCCCATGGCCACCCTGCCTCAGAGATGGCACAAAAAGACAAAAGCCTGCTAACAGGAAACAAGCCTCTGCTCTCGAGTGCAGGGTGAGCTCCACAGCCTGTCTCAGCAATGCCATTGAGATCAGGAGGTAACGAAAGCCACTTGTTGAGCCTCCTCCTACCACCCAAGTGCTCAGAGCTGGCAGCTCCTGGGCAGCACCACAGTGGGGGCAGAGACAGTGTCCAGTAAGGCTTCTGCTCACCACTGGGCTCACAGCTTCTCATGATGCACTCAGACGGCTCTGGCACCAGCAGAGTCCATTCTTCCCAGCACTGACTCCATGGCTGACTGGCATCACTTAGGTCCCCTGCAGCCTGAGGTCTGCAGTTCTGGCCTGTCACCTGCCCAGGCTGTGGAAGTCATCAGGGCACAGCTGGCCTTTTGAGACTATGGGCCTGCTCCACCTTCACTCTGCTAGATACAACCTTGCTCTGCTAGAGGCAGCGGGGGGGTGGCAGGGGGAACAAAGGCCAGGAACACACAGATGGGGACGGTGCAGAGGTGGAATTTGAGCCAAAAGTAATTTATTTAGCTTCGGAAAACAAAGTGCTGTTTTTCCTGTAAGATGAAGCTGTCTTTCAGGGGTGGGTGGTCCCTGACGAGGCTGCCAGGATTCAAAGATGGAGTCTATGAGCACAGTGCCAAGTGGTGGAAGCATATGGATTTCTGGCTATAGTGAGAAGGTAGGTCCCGTGGGTGTGTCCTGGGCGCAGGAGACAGAGAAGGTAATGCACAGGGCTAGGGAAGATGTGGACCCTCAACTTCTGAGTCTTTCAAGGAGTAACCCTGGCCTGACCTGATGGAGCCCAGCAGACAGGGCACCTGGCACTGTGGGCCAGCTAGCCCTGCTGCTGTTTCACAGCATCTCAGATCTCAGGGCAAGTTCAACAGAGGGCACTTCCTACCTGGTTCTTATTGGGAAGAACGAGTACCACTGCTCTAACAGGAAGAGACAGGATGGGTTAGGCCCACCCACCCCTCCAGCCACACTAGGACTTTTCCTCTGCCTCATGGGATCTTCCTTTGTGCTCACCCACAGGCCAGGAACCTCTTGGACACAGGAGGACAGACCAGCAGGTCCAGCTGAGGGCCCATAACTCCTGCTGGCCATATGACTGGGCTTTTCAGTCCTTCAGCTCCATGGGGGTTTAGGTCCCTTTGCCATGCTGTCGTTGCAGCTCTTTGGCAAGCATTCTATACACAGAAACATACATGTGCATACATGTGAAAACATATACCTACATGCAACATACACACAAGCATGTGCATGCACATGCATGTGCATAACACAATGCATACCTGTACATACATACTCATGTACACACACAGATACACATGCACACAGATGCACACACGCATATACATTTGTTTTGCCTTAAAATCTCAGGTGGGGCTGAGTATAAGCCTACCTGCCTGCATGCTAATTATCTTTGCTTCTGTGCTCTTTGTGCATCAGACCACCAAATGCTGGCATGACCACTGGCTGGAGATCCTTATGGCCAGTCTGGGATACCTCTGAAGGTGAGGTTACTTTACATCAATGTTTTCCAAATGCATACATGTGTGCCTGCACACCTGTGTGCCCATGTTGCGGGGGGGAATGCCAAGTCCCTGAAGACCATATGCAGGGTACCTTTCACTGTCACCCAACACTTTCAATAGGACACTGAAGAGCTGTGTTGGGGTCCCCGAGAGCCTCCCCAGGTGTGTATCTACTTCTGAAGCGGCCAGAGCCTCCCTCAGGCCTCTGCCTAGAGGTGACAAAGTGGACATCATCATTCAGGGGGCAGCTGGTATGGCAAGGGCTTGCTTAAAATTTTTGGCTAAAAAGGAGACATAGGCTGAGATCAGGATAATCACAGTTCAAGGCTAGCCCAGGCAAAAAGTTCATGAGACCCCATCTCAATCAACAAAAGCTGGGCATGGTGGCACATGCCTGTCATCCTAGCTACGCAGAAACTATAAAGTATAAATAGGAGGATCACTGTTCAGGCTGGCCCAGGCATAAATGTGAGATCCTATTCGAAAAATAACTAAAGCAAAAAGAACTGGGGATGTGGCTCAAGTGGCAGAGTACCTGCCTGGCAAAGCACAAGGCCCTGAGATCAAACCCCAGTACCACCAAAAAAAAAAAAAAAAGACACAAATAAGTATATGCACATACTCCAATAAGCATAACTTCAAGCAAGTTACAGGGAAGAGCGGAAAGGAGGTATGGGCCTCTGTACCCTGTGCCCATCCTGTCGGAGCACAGCCCATATGTGCTCACCCATCACCCACACCTACCTCATCCCCAAGTCCCAAGACCTGTGCTGGAGGAGACACCCCTGGCACTTGCCCTCGATCGCCCATGGCTGATTAGAGTATCGTCTTCCATACAGAGACACCCTGAAATTTGAAAGTGTGTAAGCGCTGATCTAACAATTCATACTAGGCTTCCGCTGAGTGCTTGCTGGTGAACAAACCAGACGAGCCTTCTGGTTTTTTCCCTCCTAGCCTTCATATCCAGTGGTGACAGAGGAGGTTAATAGGACAGCCACACAGACAAATGCAAAACTGCTCAGTGACTGTGTGGAGGGTGGGTGTGGGTAGGGCTGATGGATCCCTGGTTGGTCAGCTGGCTCTGACAGGCCAGCAGGACCTCCACCCTGTGCAACCAGGGTGGAGAATGCCCCAGGCTCTAGGCTACCACATCAACATGAAAGCCACTGCTGTCACCAGTACGAAATATCAGATGTGAGGTGTTTCTGATTGGAAATTACATTGCATTTCTGTTGAATTGATAATTTGTATCTCTTTGAGATTTTTCACAAACATGATAACCAATTTCACATGTATCTTAAACATTCCTCTTGATTACAAAGTGAGAAACAGCACAGACCGTGTGTGGACAATGATAAAGCAGCTGCTGGCCATACGTATCTGTCAGGAGCCGTCCCAGCTGCACAAATTCCACTGTTGCTGCAGAGACAGTGCACTGATAAAGAAAAAAGAGCCCAGAAAATCAATGCGCCAGAGCTCGGGCGGTTGCTAAACACACAGAAAACATCTCTGTCCAACAGGCCAAGCGCCTCGAAAACTCCCAAGCCCTGCCCTGGGACAGCCAAGGAAAATTTAATCTCTCCAAATCCTCACCAGGGCACTCCATCCTGCAGCCCTGACAGCCACACTTATAATTAATTATACAATTTCGATGGGAATATCGACTAAACAAAGCTATAAATCATAGAAAAAGTCAATAGGCATGGACACATTCAATCATGTCCCGGGCAATGATTACTACTCTTAAAATACAATAATTATTTTCAGGAGCCAGCTTGAATTAAATTTCTGTCAGACGGGTACAAGAACGGTGGTTGATGAAGGACACGATGGATTTGGGGCTGCGTCCAGCACAGGCACATCTAGCCTGCATAAGGTGGTTTGTTTCAGAGTTCAAGGCGTAGTGTGTTTAACCAGGCCATGACGATGAGGTTGCCATGATGCTCATCAGCTGTTCACCTTGTCCCTCTAGGCTTGTGGGGACAAATCCTGGGATTCTGGGCCTGATCCCTTCATGCTCATGCATCAGTGTGCCTGGGGAACTGAATGGCGGCTGGGTGAGGCCACAGCCTATGGTCCCATTCACATCTGGGTTTTTGTAGAAACCACATGGTCTCCCTGTGGAGGCACAGGCCACCCGGGCTTCAGGTGCCCCGCAAACCACTCTTTCTACCTGAGATTCCAGACATGGCACAAGACAAGCATGGGGGAAGGAGGGTCTTCCCAAAATCACCACATGGAAATCTTTTACTTCAACTCAACTGTGATTTTTTAATATTAGAATCAAATTCAAAAGTTCTCCTGAATATTCAAAGTAATTTTCTCCTTAAAGGAAGACACGGAACAATGTCACCTGATCAACACAAAACATTATCACAGTAGAATGAGAATGATCATTCCAATGGCAGCAGCACATTTTCATTTAGCTGCTAAGAGAACCATGTAGCTCTTGAACACACACGAGACACCACTTGGATGTTTCTAGAATATGTGGACTCCCCTTCTTCCCAGCTCTGCCCTAGCTTACGCTAGTTTCCCCTCATCTCTTGGAGCTTCCTTCTTATCAGTCTCTTTGCTCTTTTTAGAATGTCCTGTCTTCCTGGCCAACCCAGCATCCTCTGAGGGATCCTTCACTCACTTCCTGCTCTGCACAGGGTCCCAGGTCACCCCACTCTCCTGGGAGCCCCAAGCACCCCTCCCTGGTCTTCTCCAAGTTCAGATGGCTATAGAGCTGCAAGGGATGGCTTCTGCCCTCTGGGCACCTGACCTCACATGTGGTGTGTCTCTCTTCTCTGCTGAAATGAGCTAGAACACTGCCCTGTTCATGCAGACAGTAGGCAGGACAACATGGCCACTGCCCTGGGCAGGGGGCTGCCCCTCTAGAGGGAACCACCATTGAGACATAAGTGTCTGCATGAGGAGTGTGTGGAAAGGCACTAGAGAAGGTGAGGAGTAAGGAGGAGGGCTCATGTTAGGGCACAGCTACTGGACAGAGCAGGGAAAGAGTGGAGAGACTTCCTGTAGACAAGCAAAAGTCGATCTGGTGTGATCTGGAGTGATACCAGCGTCTCAGCTTCCTAGGCCAATGGGGCCAAAGACAGGAAGGCCAAGGCCTAGCCAACTGACTGCAGCAGCAGGAGGGGCTGGGCCATGGTCAGAGAGAGGGGAAAGATTAATGTGCTATGAGAACTAGACCAGGCCAAGCTAGGCACTGATCAGCAAGTGAGGTAAGGGAGTCAGGGACTTTTCTGCGTTCTGGGTTGGATAAGTGGTAGATGTCACCTCTAAAGGGAAGAAACAGGATAAGCTGTGGAGCTGGGGACCAGTGGGTGGAGGCAGCAGGTCTACTCCTGCATGGGTGGGTTTTTAAGAATCCAGGGGATATGAGGCTGCTGGTATCTGCTGGAGAGCTGGGCAGTCTCCTTTCACCAAGTACTTGGATGTAGCCTGTTCTGTTCTAAGCACTTTTCACACACTGACCCATGAATCCTTGTGAGGAGGAAACCGAGGCACCCAGCTAGTACAAGATAAGCCAGTGAGAGTAGGCATGTGTGCACACCCTACCGGGCCTAACCCACAAAAACTAGGTCTATTCCCACCACTCACAAACCTGCCAGTGTGGGCAGCTTCCTGACAGCAGGAACATTCTACCTTCTTACCTACCACGTCAGTCCCAGTGGGGCAGCTGATTATGAACAGCTTGGATAATTCTTCAATTTTTAGAACTTGCTATTTTTTTCTTCTTTTATTATTCGTATGTGCATACAAGGCTTGGGTCATTTCTCCCCCGTGCCCCCACCCCCTCCCTTACCACCCACTCCCCACCCTCCCTCTGCCCCCCACCCCCTCAATACCCAGCAGAAACTATTTTGCCCTTATTTCTAATTTTGTTGTAGAGAGAGTATAAGCAATAACAGGAAGGAACAAGGGTTTTTGCTGGTTGAGATAAGGATAGCCATACAGGGCATTGACTCACATTGATTTCCTGTGCGTGGGTGTTACCTTCTAGGTTAATTCTTTTTGATTTAACCTTTTCTCTAGTTCCTGGTCCCCTTTTCCTATTGGCCTCAGTTGCTTTTAAGGTATCTGCTTTAGTTTCTCTGCGTTAAGGGCAACAAATGCTAGCTAATTTTTTAGGTGTCTTACCTATCCTCACCCCTCCCTTGTGTGCTCTCGCTTTTATCATGTTAGAGCTCGCTATTAAATGTCATGGTCACTAGCTTGGAGTTGCCCAAGGGGAAGAGTGCACACCACAGACATGGGCCACTGCTATTCCACATTCACCAGAATCCAGAATCCAGTAAGTTCTGTATAGTTATTGCATAAAGCCTGGAGAGAATTATACTGCAGTAAGAAATGACAATTGGAGTGCAATGAGGCCCCTCTCAGCAATGGTCTACATGAGGCCCTTGCAATGTAGATGGTCGCATGTGGCCAGGGCTGCCTCTGGCAGGGCACATTCTCATTAACACACACTTTGATTTACACATGTATGCTCATGCGCACATATGCTTACACACATCCACCCATGTACACACTTACGTGCACACACAATTATGTATATATGCACATGCATACACCTGAACTCATGAGGCATGTAAGCATACAGCTGTACACATGTACTCAAGTACACACAAATGCAACACACACACAGGAAGGTCACACAGGGATGTGAGGAGCCTGCAGACACCCATCACTGCACATAAGTGGCCTCTCCCCATTGAAAATGAAACCTCAGTCCCTGCTGCTCACCTGAAGCCAAGGACTCCTTGGCTCTGTGTCTTTGGCAGCCAGGACCTTACCTCTCCCAATAGGTGTCTCAGGGTTGACTGGTGAAGGGAGTGTCAATGCTGCCATTGACAGGGCATGCTCCAGGCAGCCATCCCAGCTGGATCCAGACCCAGCCATGCCCACAAACCCAGAGCTAGAGGAGTCCCAGGATAACTGGCCACAAGCCTAGAAACAAAACTTACCGCAGTGCCGTTGTTGTCCCGGAAGACATCCTGATTGAAGTAGTCAAAGAGCTTCTTTTCCAACTGGAGTACCACCTGCCAAGTCAGAGTGGCCTCAGCACCCAGTGGGTGAAGGCATCCATATGCACCTCCCTAGTGACCTCCTCTCATGGCTCCAGGCATTTGCAGACAGCCCTATTCCCCAGTTGGGCATGGCTGGTGGCTGCCCTGAGTCACTAGTCCCCCGTCATGGGCATTTACCTTCCGGTCATTGTCTGACTCCCGAAATATCAACTTCACAACTTCATTGGTGTCAGCAGCCCGGATTGTCTGCATCGTGGCCTTTGTGCAGAGTGTCTGCGGGAAGACACAGAGAGAGCTCAGTCCCAGGAGAAGGTCTGCCTACATGGTACCCCAGGTCAGTGTCACCCTGAGGCCACAACGGCCAGGGCCTTCCAGATGCCTTCAACTGAAAGGGAAGGCACTCAGCATTGTTTCACATGGTTTTATACCCTGTGCCAGGGAGCCCCCTCAGCTGCCTTAGCTGCCACAGAAGGCACACAGTGGCCGGCAACTGTTCCAAGTCCTAGTTGAGTGCAATGGCCAGTGTGACACAGACAGACTACACTGTGCCCTGCGCTTCCACAGGAAAGCAAGGGCACGGGCAGTGTCCACACCCAGGCTGCACAGAGAGATGCACAGTGGGGGGTCTGGGCTAGTTGCCATCAAGGGACCATGGACCTCCTTTGGTCTACCCTGGGCCTCCCCCATGAACTGGCTCAGCTTTGACCTTAAAAGTGACTGGAGGAAACAGTCTGAGCAGGTGTGTTTTAGCTACAGCAGAAGTGAGAGGGATGAGTGAAGCCACACTGTGACTCTGTGGTCCCAAGTCTCCCTGTGCAGCCAGTCCCTGCAGTGCAGACAGCAGTGAGGACCATGGCACTGGCACTGAGTCCCAGGGGTCTGGAGCCAGATGGACAAGAAGGCAGGTACTCTCAACCCCAGAAAGCAGTAAGACGTTCTGGCTCACACCAGGAGCTGGGGGTGCCTGTGCACCCAGAGAACTGAGTGGCAGGATGGAGACAAGGACACAGCAAGGGCAGGGGCCACCACTGCAGCCCCGCCTCCACCTCAGCCACCTCAGAGGGCTGTAGTATCTGGATAGCAGAGGATAGGCAACCTCCCTGTCGCTTGCTTTGTGTGTCCTTGGAGGAAGGTCTAGGGTAAGGAGCAGATGGCCCAGCTGATTGGTTAGTAATTTAGACCTGCTTAAAAACTTCTTGTTTTAACATCAGTATGTGCAAGAAGCAATCAAGAGGGTTACGCTGGAAAGGCAGGACAAAGCTGGAGAACCCCCAGGCAGAGGCGCTCCCTCCACACAGCAAGGGTGACAGATACAGAAATGCTACAAATACATCTGACAAGGAAGTACAAGGGAGCAACAAGGGAGAACCACTGGGAGGAGACTAGGCTCTGTGTAAATAAGGAGACACCTCAGGACAGGAAGAGATACCCCAGAGTGTGCGGAGAGAACTCCAGAGTGCAGGTAAACACTCTAGGGTGTGCAGAGCTACCCTCAAGGTTTGGGGACTAACTCGGGCTGGAGATAACTTTTGAAAAATAGTTCACGACTAAGATATGATTTGCATGAAAATAAACCTCAAAAACCTGTTTTTGAAAAAGAGAACATAGGATTTTTACTTTAAAAAGACCACTGCAACAGACATAACTTTTTTTTTTGGCAGTACTGGAGTTTGAACTCAGGGCCTTATTGTTTGCCAGGCAGGTGCTCTGCCACTTGAGCTTCTCTGCCAGTCCTCTAACTTTTGACTTTTCAAGTCTTTGTATTGCAGGAGCCTTGGGGCCATGCTGCAAAGGTTCAGCACCTTTGCTCCAGGGTTGCTAGGAACAAGGGTTGCATAGAGCCAGCTGTATGTGTAGAGTCCTGGTCCAGGGCCACCACTCCCACAGCACACTGCAAGACAGGCATTGACATTCAGGGCACAGGTCGCTAACTTGGCCAAGCCCCCCAAGCAGCTTCTGGACTCCTGTGTCATAAGTCAGTCTGGTTGGGGAGGATTAGGACAAGAACCCAAACAACGGGGGCCACCTAGGCCACCCTGGCCCTGCAGCCTATGGAGGTCCTGGCCCCATCCAGATGCTAATGTGCTTAAGTGGCTTAAGCCCCTTTCTGGGAATGTGGGAGGAGGCGGCAGAGGCCATTGTGGCAGGCCTAGGTTCAAGAAATTCATGTTTCTGCCTCCTGGAGGCATCTGCTTTATCTTACCACTCAGGCAGCTCCCAAAAGAGGTCTGAAGATCCCTGTCCTATCGTTTATTCCTGCACCCCTTCCAATGGAGCTGCCTCATTCACAGGTTTTAAAGAAGTGATCAGGGGCTGAGCAGGCAAAGCTGCCTTTCCCTTCCATTTCCTTCCCTTCCCCTTTCAACTGGAGAAGTTGTGACTACTCATGCAGAAAACTGCAGGCTGGGCCTTTCCGGCTCAACTGCTATGGAAGGGATTTTGCTCTTTTGAAATGAAAGGAAAAAAAAAAAAAAAAAAAAACCCAAACGCTGTTTTTAAAAAACCATCAAAGATTCATTTCACCATCATTGGCAGCACCAAAGAGCATTTTGGAAAGGGTGGCCTGGCACATGGCCTTATTGGCCCTTGAAGGCCCACTCTGCTCCTGGAATTTGCTGGGACTGCTGTGTGCCAAGGAAGCCTGCCTGTCATGTGGACCATGGAGTTTCTGGTTTCTTCTTGCTTAGACAGCTATCAGAGCATGCTGCCTGGTCCTGTATCCACAGGCCCAGGGCACCACTGACAGCAGAGACAGCTGTTTTCTGTACCATCAAATCACACAATTTTTACAGCCCATTAGATTTGCACAAAGCCACCTGGAGATCAGACACCCCCATGTACATGTGTGCAGTTGGCTGACTCATCCCAGGAACTAAACCTGTCCTTTACCCTGACTCAAATGTCACTAATGCTCCCACTCCCCACGATGTTCAAAATTCTATTCAGGACAAACGGTTTATGGACCCTACAGTCCAAGTCTTTTAAATGCAATAATAAAGAGCCTGTTTAGAAAACCAAAAATTTATGTGTGCTTCCATGTGGGTATACTTGGTGTGTGGCAGTGACAGCCAGACTAGGCCTTTAACCTTGAACAAGAACCCAGGCTGCACCCATACCTGCTCTGAAGAGAAGTGGAACAGGGTGAGAAGAGCAGGGTGGAAGAAGGACCAGGTGTCCTAGGAACATGTGACTTGTTGGGACCAGGGCCTGTCCAGAGATACGCCAGGAGCCATTGGCAAACACCTGAGTCAGATGACCTCTAGTCCTTACAGAGTCTGATAAAGGGATGCCTGGTGGACTCCAAAGCTTAGCACAGGATGCACCTTTTAGAAAGTACATTTGCAAGTTCTGTGGACAGTTTCTGGTCTATGAAGGTAAGAGGCATAACAAGCAAAAATGCATAAAAAGAGATTTTTTAAACATATCTACCAGTGATGAAAACTAGGCAAGGCAGCTCTAAGCTCAGGGTGCAGGCGCTGTCCTATAGGAGCTCCTGAGCTGTTAAGCTGCTCACTGCCAGGCAAACTGATGCACCTCCTGTGTCCCCAGATCTTCTTACTGTCAGTGGTGTTCTTTAAAAAGCACCTTGGTTTGCCGCTGTCAGCAGCTGATGAAGATGACCTCTGAGGGCAGGTGCCCCTCACCTGCACTGTACAGCACAGGTTGTATCAGCAAAGGCTGAGAAGCAGTGTCCTGAAAGCAGCTCACCAGGATGGGTAAACAGGGACTCCCAGGTGTAGGGTCATCATTATCTGTCAGTCACTGATACAAGGGTTAGGGTGGGTCCTGCTGCCCTTAATGTCGAAGTGATCATCTAGGCATGCTGTATGTGCCTCCTCACCATGCTCTGTACAGGTTTTGTGGAACCACATGGACAAGGTCCCTGTGTCCCTGAAATTGGCTGGTGTCTGGGCAGGTAACGAATGAGGCTCCTTAGGGGAAGAACGGAGGGTCAGGTCCGGGCAGGTGGGAGCTCCAGGTGAAGACCCTAGCCCGAGAGTAGGCAGGCCAGGGCCAGGCAGGAGTCTGAGTGCAGTCACAGGAGCCCTCAGAGGGTGGGAAGGGGTCACATGGGGCCAAGAGGGCCACAGAAGACCTGCCTTCAGTCTGGGGATGAGGAAACTCGAGGGGATAGTAACACGGGCTGCAAGGTGGCCACGGCAGAGACTCAGCATAAAAAGCAGATGACCTGAGCCGGACTGGGAGGCAGAGTTGGTGGAACCATGGGGTAGGACATGGATGTGGAGGAAATGGAGCCCATCCCTTGGGACCCTGGCAGGCCACAAAAGGAATGGGAGGGTATCCAGTGCAGATGCCCTATGCTGGGGCCTCCGTAGGCCCCAGAGATGGCCGCTGCTCCTCAGAGACCAAAAGACATCCAAATGTGCTTCCAGCTCATCTGTTTTCACCCAAAGAAGCATAGAACAGGGTGTACGAGTTGGAACATGTTTTATATGAAGAAGATGCTGTCTGGTGGACAAGAACAGCTGATCTTTGTGACTGCCCTGTCCCTGTGGACTATGACACTCCTGGGCCTCACTCTCCACCTGAAGCCTGGGAACACACACAGGTCTGCAGGGTGCCCTGCTCAGGCACCACTGAGGCTGATGCCATGCTTGAGTCTAGACACTGCTGAAGGCATCTGTGTGGTGAAGAATGAGTTCTGGGGGCCCTGGATGTCTGTGGGAGCACAAGGAGCCCACTTGCCACCCAGCCACATCCCTCAAAGTCAGGTCAACACCAGAAGCAACACCACGTGCTGAGGAGGAAATACCTGCAGAGGATAACTGTAGAGAAGGGTGCTGGGCTCACAGGGGCAAGATTCAGTGCCACCCAAAAATGTTACCAGAAATAGCAAGCTTAGGAACCCTCTCTCTGCAGTGACTTAGGCTGACTCCTGAACTTTCTTGGCAACTGTTGCATTCTGCTCATATGTATTCTTAAGCAGACCAAGCCACCTGGTAGTGGCTGCAGCCATAAACTCCCCAGGACCAGAGCCCACCTCTCAGCAACAGCTGAGGCTCCACCTGGAACTGCAGGTGCTGCCATCTTCACAGAGGAAGGCGTGCTGGGTCTTGTCCTCCTGGGTCAGTCAGGGAGCTCAGTCAGGGTAAGGAGGCTCCAGTTGTTTGCTGAGCAGGGAGAGTACCTGCACCAGATCAAAAGCCAACAGGCCACAAGGTGCTGCTGCCCCTGGCCACCAGTGTCCACAGATCTCCTGGATCATGAGCACAGCCAGCACAAGCTCCTCACTGTGCCTCCTTGCCTAGCCA